TACAAATCTCCTAACAAATACAAACAAATTGTTGCAAAATTTTCAAAGAAATTCTAAGAAATTGCAATAGTTTTTCTACAAGATTCAGTATAAATTTAAAATGCAAATCTCGTAACAAATAGAAATAAATTGCTGCAAAATTTTTAATGAAATTCTAAGAAATTTCTATAGTTTTTCTACAAGATTCTGTATAAATTTAAAATGCAAATCTCGTAACAAATACAAAAAAATTGCTGTAAAATTTTGAAATAAATTCTAAGAAATTTCTATAGTTTTTCTATAAGATTCTGTATAAATTTAAAATGCAAATCTCGTAACAAATACAAACAAATTGCTGCAAAATTTTCAAACAAATGCTAAGAAATTTCTATAGTTTTTCTACAAGATTCGGTATAAATTTAAAATGCAAATCTCGTAACAAATTGCTGCAAAATTTTCAAAGAAATTCTAAGAAATATCTGTAATTTTTCTACAAAAATTCTTGTAAAATTTATGTAAAATTTCTATGAATATAGATTTAAAAATTTAAGATGGATGTAACAAATATAAATTCTGCAAAATATCTGTAAAATATCTGAAAAATTCCAATTAGTTTTCTATGATATTCCTATAAGATTTCTGTTTAATAATTATTAAGTAATTTCTTAATTATTCAATATAAATTCAACCATTTCCCAATATGAAATATTCAAAATAAATATGAAACTTAATTAAATTAGTCTAATACCTAAAAAAAAATAAAAAATTTACAAATTATTCTATATAAATTGAATCATATTTAGAAAAACTAAATTGAATAGAATTTAGTTTCTAAAAATATTGAAAAAAAAAATCTATTAGAACTATTATAGGAAACTATCGTGGAAAGTTCTTTGTCGTGATAAATTTATGAACAAAGATTTTACATCAATATTAAATTCAGAATAAATAAATAAAAAAATTATTTTAATTTATCAAATTAATAAAAAACTAAATTAGAATGTTAATGAAAATGAGTAAATTGATAATATTGAGTAATTTATATAAAAATAGTAATTTATATATAAATATAATTGAATAGAATTTAGTTTCTAAAAATATTGAAAAAAAAAACTATTAGAACTATTATAGGAAATTATCGTGGAAAGTTCTTTGTCGTGATAAATTTATGAACAAAGATTTTACATCAATATTAAATTCAGAATAAATAAATAATTTTTTTATTTTAATTTCAAATTAATAAAAAAACTAAATTAGAATGTTAATGAAAATTAGTAAATTGATAATATTTAGTAATTTATATAAAAATAAGTAGCAATGAAAATGATATGTATTTTAATAATAAATGTAAGTGCACTTTAACTTATTCTGGAATTCTATTTGCAAATTTCCTTAAAAGTTTTGCACCGAAACCTTTTAGTAATAATATACGCCGGTAACTCATGAACGAAGAGATCTATTTCGGATAATGAGTATGCAAATAAAAGGAGAGAAACCGTATGCATATTTCGTACAAACCCTTCCCACTTTTTCAATTTGCATATTGCGAATAACAAGCTAGGAAGAAAATGAAAACAACAAGTTACAACTTTAATTGATTAATAAGAACGAACGGTATGTAATGTATATTCGTATTTGTTTTCCGGTCTGAACATACATATATAAATTGCGGTATATGCGATGCGGCTGTGCACTTTACTTGATAATGTCGAAATGCTTTCGCAGAAAGTTCAAGTCAATAAACGAAGATTGTTATTGTTCGCCGCAAAGTTTTCTCTTGAAAAAAAAAAAAATTGTTCATTTGGGAGAATGCAAGAAACGAAAATAAAGGAATGAAATGCGAGACGTTTATTAACCCTGCTGCAGCCAATAAAACGGTCGGGTAACGGTTTGGAATTAATTAGGTCCGATAGTTTTCGTGCGAAATCTCCGATAATTAGGATTAATCGATGCCGACGTTCATCGTTACGCACGCAAATCCTTAGGATATATATATAAAAAAACAAAACTGTAAAATTAAGATTAAATACCTTGCAAGATCAGGAGTGCTGTAAAAATCCCAAAAACTTTCGACGACATTGTTTTTGTTTTGTTTGTTTCTCTTTTGTTAGTCTTTAGTTTATTTCTTTGGATTTCGTTTTTTTTGTTTTTTTGTTTTTATTCTTTGGGGTGATGGCACAAATCACATAACAACAACAGCATCGAAACTTGCTGGCAACGCACAAAGTAAAACAAATTTTATTTCTCCGTGCTCTCTTCTCTTTTGCGTCTTGTAGTCGGTTGCGTCTTGCGCCGCAGGAGATCCAGCACAGTCGGGCGTCGCGACGCTACTGGCGCTCCAGTGATAAGCGGACCGACACCGTTCCATGCCGATGCACTTCGGTTGGAGCCGTCCGGACTCGAAACAATTGTTGTTTGTTGTTGCTGCTGCTGATGTTGTCGTACGCAGCTTGCTTCTACCACTCTTTCTTCTCCCTCTTGCAACTCTCCGCTTTTGCTTATTTCTTTTTTTCCAACGGCACAATAACACCGGAAATGTAGATCAGATACCACCCGGAAGCACACACACACACACACCATTTTTCCGGCCGTCCGTACGTTCCGGACAACGCGCAACAATCAAATTCTCCTCAATCGCGCTAAATCAAATTTCCTACACGTTCACCTGTACACGAGAACATTCCTTCTGCGCCCTTTGCGTTCAACTCCAATTTACATATTCATGACTCAGTCTGAAAAGTTGGTAGTTTTATGAAGAAGAGGAAGAAAAACACGCAAATTATTTAGCACATTTAATTTTATAATTTATTTGTTAACAGTATTTCTAACAAAAATGTTTGCATATTTAGTTAAAAACTAATACAGTTGAACCTCGCTTAACGAGCAAAATTTCAGGATTTTTACTCGTACAGTGAAACATATTCAAAAATACACAAGTTTTAAAAATGATGTAACAGGCGCGCATCCAGGACTTCTCTTATCATCGTCACTCGTTATGCGAAACATCGCTCGTTAAGCGAGTAATTTTTCTTACAATTCATTTTGCTCGTTAAACGAGGTTCCACTGTAATTGTAATGAATATAAAACTAAACTAAAAGTATATGGATTTATACAATATTTGTGAAATGCAGCTTTTGGCGATGTTCCAGAAAATATTCTCTTTTTATTTCAATAAATAGCTTCATTTTAGTTCAAATATCGTTTCATAATAAATTTATGTTGAATTTTTAATAATTTATTCTGATTTTGAAAAATCGATTTGTGTATTATCACCGAATGATGAAGGAATGTAATAAGTGTAACAAGCAGTGCAGACGGGTTCGAGGAGATGAACTCATTGAAATGTATGAATCTGCGACTGGGATTAGTGAAAAAGAAAAAAACGGGCATCTGTTATTGTAACTGAAAAGTATTTTAATCCTTCCATTTGGCTGCACATGTTGGTTATTCAATCCAAAATCAATGGGTTTTGTGCGGCGGCATATGGGGTTGATATACGAGTGTGTGTGTGTGTGTTGTTATTTTCCTCTCTCGTCAGCGAAAAAAAATATATGGAAAAACGTTCAATCAAAAAATGTAATAGAACCAAATCAATTAGGTTAATTGATCCCCGGGATTAGATTCGCGTTTTGTGAAACCGGATGTGACGCTGGCGATTTTTTGTTGTTGCTGCTCCACTTTCATCCATCCCTCTTCTCGGAGAAGAGAAAGAGTTTGAGTTGTATGTGTGTTGTTGTTTTTTTATTTGTTATATATATGGTTTATTTTTGATGCTGCCTTTTTGGAGTCGATGTATTGATGATGTTGGCTCGTGTATCTTTCCATCTAGTTCCTCTTTCGGATCCATTCCTCTCTAAGAAATATATCTATATAGAGTAGCAGTGTGTAACAAATAACGTTTGGAGAATCATCCGAGTAAACAAGAAACGATGAGGAAAACACGGACGCGACATTTCATTAATGTTCGTTGTTGTGTGTTTGTCTTACAAGGAAAACTTTCCGCCCCCATACATCAACTGAATAAAATGTATCAATTCATTTGTGACGAGACTACTTCTTCCTTCTCTTCGACGAAGAACCACCCTCGTCGGACGCGGCCAGCGCTGAAACGGACTTCGAAACGAAATAAAAAAAAAAAGGATGCATTAGGAGCTACGATCCTTTTTGGAAAGGATTCATTTTCTCGGTTCCGCATCACCAATTACGTCTATTATCCGCAATTTCTCATCACTTCTGCACATTTTATTTCGTTATCCCGCAACTACTTTTCCTGTAAATTCCCTCAAAACCGTTCAATTTGCAAACAACAATTTCATGTTCGAATCCTCGCGACAGAGCGTACACGATTTATGCTAATACGTAAATACCCTTGTTTAATTCCCCATTTAATCAGCTTTAATTTGCATATTCATAATGCACAAACCGCTTCGTTACTTTTACAGAAAAATTTTCATAAAATATAACACGTTGTACATTTACCACATTTTACATATTAATAAGATCATTTCATGACAAGACAATTCTCACCACTAGCAAATTATTGAATTCAATCTTTACTCTCATATTATATCCTATTTCTCTCATCACTTTTAAATTCACATATCCAATTCATCATATTAGATTTTAATTTATTGATGAAATTATAATTTTGCAACATTTTCTTTTCAAAAAAAAAAATTATAAAATAAATTTTCAAGTAATATTTTTAATATTGCATATAAAGAAAATAATATACTTTGATGCTTAAGTTCTTATATAAAAATTATCTAATACAAATTGTATCATTAAATATAAAGGAATTCTTCATTATGAAATCTCTTTATAGTTCCGACGCGTTCCGTCTTGAAGTATAGGCAACTCTATTTGCATTTCTATAATTTTAAATTTCTTAAAAAAAATTTACTCAGTCAAATTTGATTTTATTAAATTTCAGCAAAACGATTTAATTTGTTAAGTTAACATTTATTTACAACAACTTAATTCAACACTTTATATAAAATATTTAAAATTATAACTAATATACACATAGATCAAGTCAATAAATGATTTGTAAAATGTTTATGAAGCGCCCATGTAGAGGTAGTGCTTCCTGAAGGTGGTGTTCAAGTCGTTGAAGATCTCCGTGGATGCAGGCGATAGAACGCTTTCCAGGTATAATTTGGATCTGGCATCGCACCTTGTGAGCAGATGGAAAACGCAATTGTCTACAGAAATTTTAACGATCGGATTAAACGTAACTTCCTCGTAGCGCTTGAGGATGTCTACTATGATGAAGACGGCGATGTTGTTGTCCACCGTCTCTTTGGACATCTTGATGGAAGCGATTAGCTTCTCGAAGGCGTAAGCGCAACCGAGCACCGCCTCCACCTGCTGCTTATCCGCCTTCTCCAGCTGATTGTTCATGGTGCAGAGTTCCTCGAATAAAGCCCTGCATTGGTTCAGAATTGAAGGCATTCGATCGTGACACAGAAGCTTGTGATTCAACAAAAGTGTCCTCAAGAGATCAGCGCAAGCATTAAATGTATGAGGAGAAGTCGACTCCAGCTTTCTTGACACCAGCATGCAGATGGCTTCCATTGTACGCGCAGTGGGCATATGCTGTGAATTGGAAAAACATATATTTAGAGATCGATACATGAGGATTTAATGAAATACCGACCCTTTTCTCGTCCATCGCTATTAAACGCCTCATCGGAATGAACATACCGTCCAACATATCGCTTTTATCCTCTACGATCAAATGCAGCGCCAAGTTCACAATTAAAGCGTACAACGATTTCAGCTTGTAATTGGATAAGTTCTGTTTCATCGTAGCATCCAAAATTGCAACCAACTTGTTGAATCGTTTTCCATTCACACTGGCCACCGATTTGTTCTGAAATTACATCAATTTTATATAAATATCAATTGTATATTTTAAAAAGTTTACTTACCATCACGGTCTTAACATCGTTGAGCAACTCCTCGAACTTTTCGTCGCTCTTAACGCAAATTAAAAGATATCCCAGCAATTCCCCGTAACCTTGCACGTTCTCTTCCAGCTCCGCATTATTCCAAACCTTCTTCCACAATTCGTGAATAAAAGCGTCGTCCAGTTTCTCTACGTGATGGTTCATAAATAGCTTGAGGATATCGACAACTGCTTTCATATTAGTTATTTTATTCGCCACCACTAAATCTCTGAACACATCCACCTTCCTCCTAATAATCTTCATTTTCTTCTTATCCTTCAAGTAGTATTTATAGAATATGCAGTACATTTCGATATAATCCTCGCTGCAAAACTCATCGATACCATTGATGAATTTCTCTCCGATTTCATTAAAGATCTCATCATTTTCGCTTACATCAGAAACCAAATGACTGCTTAGCAAACTCGTGCAGACCCTGACGTTGCCGTCGAGCGGAACCTCGGCGATATCTCTCAACGCATCCTGGTTTTGACGCACGTACTTGAATGTGCTTTTGATGTTCAAAGACATCAGGTTCATCAATAACTTCTTGTTGCGCACGTTTCCGGGAATCCGATGCGATGAGTACAACCCCGCAAAAATACCCTCCACATCGCTTCGTAGACTTTGCAGAGCTGGTAATTTCTCTGCCTCCACCTCCGCAATCTTCAGATCCATCATCAAATAATACATGAACCAAACGGTGATTTTCAGCGCGTTCTCCGGCAAGCCGTAAACATCGTAAAATTTAAATACGTCGATCACACGCCTAAGAACAGCCACATCTATGGAGCAGCCCTTCTTGCTAACTTTGATCGAGTTCAAGGCTTCTGCGATGACCTCTGATTTATCAGAGTTGTGCATGAAATCCGCTCGCTTGAATCTACCGAAATACTGAACGACCGCCGATTTGCTGAAGTCGCCATAAACCTTATGGATCTCCTCCAGACAAACGAAATATATAGCTTCGATTAAACTCTCGCAGCTCTTCAGAGCTTCGCACGGTTCCCACAACAATATTCCGGCCATCCTACGCAATATTTTCCCCTTCATCTTCGGCAGCAAATACAGCATGCAGAGACTATCTCCGATCACGAAATTCCGCAAAATGTTCGTAAAATTTCCATTCGACTCGAGCATGTGCACTAAATAGTTCATCAAATTGGTCTCGACTTCTTCGTTGACACCGTCCGCCTCAAATATCATCATAGCGCGCAACTTTTGAATGCACAATTTAAACTAAAACGAAGAAAAGTTAAAATATGTTAAACTATTATAGTAAAGCAAATCACCATAATTAATTGGCAAGGCAACGATCCAAAATTCTCGATCCTCTCGTAAATCAAGTTCCATTTCGCCGTCGACAGATACGAGTGCAAGTAGACTATATTGAAAACGGAATTATCGTTGCTCTGCATCGGCACGAACTTTATATCTTCCAGCATCGAGTAATGATTCAAAAGGATGTACAACTCGCCCCAGCTGTAGCACAAATTCAAGTAAACCGAAATCAAGTTTTGATACTGAAAACAACACACATTGTAACAAAAGTTAATATTAAATTATTATTATATACTTACATGTTTTAATTGCAAAAGCGCTTCACCGAATTTTCCTAATATTTCAGATTTATCATCATTCATGTAATTGTAAAACTCCATTTGCGTAGCTTTCGGTACTTTACGATCAGAAATGCTCACAGCTTTGAAGAAATCACTCATCAAAGTGCAAAGAACTTCCACATAAGTCACTCTGTTTATATCTAAAAAAATATTTCATAAATATTAGTATAAACTAATAAGTTTGGATTTATAAATTACCTGTAGCCAAATCGTTGAAATTTTCCAATATCTCTTTGATGCCTTTCCTGAAAATGCTGTAGACTTCAACTGCCAAAGAGTAACTTAACTTGGTCACTCCTTCCTTGAAGCACTCGGAAATATCCTCCGTGAGAACATTTTCAATCCTGTTGACTTCATTCCTTGGACTCGTCACCTCCAACTTCTTGCAGAAAGAATATTTTGATGCGATACTCTCGCTTCCATCGAACTTCAAGCACGTGATGATGGTGTCTATCAACTGCCTGATCCTGTGCATTTTACTATACACGATCATAATATCTTTGAGTACCTCCCTGTATACATCTCCGCAAGACACGACGTCCGCTCTCATGATAAACTGCAGTAATTTCCCCGCGACCAACTCTATAGAAGTTGGACTTAATTTAATCACGCTCCGAATCTGTACAAGCAACGTTACATCCGCCTCCCCAAAGCTCCCGACAATAAATTTCAAGTACTCAGTACAAAACACGTTCAAATTAATACCATTTATGGAGGAGTAACCGGAAATTTCATGTTTCGCAAAACTCGCGAAAAGACTAGAAGCAATTCTCATAGAGCTATGAACATCACAAACACTTTTCGCAATTGTAATACCATCCACTCCATCGACCATCTTAAAATGCTTTTTCAGTTTAAATCCTAAATGTTTCAGCAACAAAATGAAAAACCTGAATTTACTTAGAGAATCGGCGTGAGATGATTCACAGAACGTATCGAAAATTAATTTGTATGCTATTTCTGCATTCTTTGTACTATACATATTAGTGAGATGTGCAAATAAAATGGTAGCACAACTATAGTCATTCCTAATGCTGGTTTCTTCAAACATCGATTTGATATATTCGTTGAAATACTGAAATTTAAAGCCAAATAATCCCCACGTGACGAATGAAGATATTTCTTTATAAACGCTCTGATTTTTCTCGTATCTTGAGCCATTTTTACTAAGAGGTATCACGATGCATTCAATGAAATTCTGAAGAAATTTCGGCCGCATAAAATTTCCTCTCAATTGTGGTGATTGCAGTAAATTTAATAGCAAATCATCATGCTCTATATTATTGATAAGTTCCCCAACAAAAGCGCAATATGTCAAGGAAGATTGCTTGTTCAGCAATGGTGTGTTCATTAGATGCAAAATTATGCTCACAGTCAGTTGCTCACTTTCATAATCTTCACACTCCTTTACTCTCTTCAAAATTGCCTAAAAAAAATAACATGCATTTAAATAAAAATCATGTGGCAAAACACAAAAACTATAATTACCAGTAACAAAGCTTTGCTCTGCTGTGGTGGAATGTCCAGATTCTTGAATCTCTCAGACTGCACCCAAGATAAACATGTCTTCAGATTCCTGGCATCAGTTTGCTCATTTCCACACATCCATGTCAGCAACACCACTTCCCTATTCTGAACATCAAAGTTCTCTTTCTTATAGAAAACCTCGGCCAATTTCAGCCTCTTGATGAAGGGCTTATCATCATCGTCAAGAAAATCAAAGATATCTAAACATTTTAAGGTTAAAACTTGCATTTTACAAAAGTTCCAGACACATTACCTTCTGGTGTACGAAACCTCTTTCGCAGAGATCTTCCTTCGACATCTTCCTCGTCGGAATTTTCGTCCAAGCTATCCTCGAACAGATCCGTATTTTTGTTAACCTTCTTCGGAGGCATCTTCGGAATTTGAATTATGTTTACACGTGGTTTTGTTGACACCTGAATCCCCTAACCGGTTGGTAATTTCAAGAATCAAGTAAAAACCAAATTTCCCTTCATCGCATGCAAAACCATAAAATTAAAATATATGTGATTTCGGTTAATTCAAATTATTTATTTTATTTATATAAATATTATATTTATTATTTTATTGTAAGTATGTGTATTTATTTAGAGTTAAGCTATATTTATGTGTTTATCTAGTGAGTTTAGTTTTCTTCGATTGATGCTACTGATGGTTGCGGTTAGTTGCGCGCAACTTCACTCTATTTAGTAATTGTGAAGTTTGGTGCATCAACTAGTTTCCTTCTTTTCGTACATTTGCAATGGCGCCGACGTAAGTGTTCCGTGGTTCTCCCGTAAAAAATCTTGAAACATCATCGTTTCCCAAGTAAAACCCAACAGAATTTCTCTAAATTACCGTTCAGCGTACCTTCTAAATTACATTCGCGTGTAAATTTTTACCAATTTCCCAAAAACTCTTTGTTGTAGACATGTGTCTCGCACGAACGTGTACATATAGTTGAAGTTGTGTTTTGTTTTCCTTTGGCATAGTTTGCTAAGAATGTGAGTATTGATCTAATTTTTTTTTACTATTTTTAGCGCTAAACAAGCACCAAAGCCCAAAACAATGAAGGGAGGTTTACCAGCCGTCCCAGAGTCGGTGTTGAAGCACCGCAAGAGGCGCGAAACCTCCAAGGCTGCCAGACTCCAATCTGCCATCAAGAAGCGCTCTGATGCTACCCAGAAGAGGAAACTCATCTTCAAGCGCGCTGAACAATATGTAAAGGAATACAGGAGCAAGGAGAAGGATGAGCTCCGCTTGATCCATCAAGCCAAGAGCGCTGGCAACTTTTACATCCCCGGTGAAGCCAAACTTGCCTTTGTTATTCGTATCAGAGGGTAAATATATGTTCTCATTGCTCTATTAACTCTAAAATAATAATTGGTATATTTGAGGTTAACTGATAACAACATAGCATGATGTTATTTACATCTTATAACATAAATTGATTTTTAAATAATGGATTAATATCTAAATGCATGAACTGTGTATTTCTTAATTTTGCCGAGGCATCTAATCAATTTTATATTTTTCATCTTGTAAAGTACATTTGGTTGCCATGGTATTATTATCTATCTTGTGATTGCAAAAATAAGTAAATATTGCTTAAAATCTTTCCAGTTCTTAGTAGCTTGTAAAAGTACAATTATCTATTATTTTAAAACCAAAGATTCATTCAAATCAAGGATTCATTTTAAATCAGTTTATAGCTTGAGCAAGTATTTTTTGTGTTTTGACAGCTATTTCAATGAAATCTATAATTGTTGTAGATTTGTCTTATATACTTTCTTCCAAGTTATTAATTATTAAACAAGAATATATGATTCAGAAAATTATGTGAACTATGATAATTTTGTATGTGTATCTGCTATAATTATACTTTTTGTTTTCAGTATCAACAAAGTTGCACCAAAGGTCCGCAAGGTCCTCCAACTGTTCCGTCTTCGTCAGATCAACAACGGAGTCTTCGTCAAGTTGAACAAGGCCACAATCAACATGTTGCGTATCTGCGAACCGTACGTAACCTGGGGTTACCCCAACTTGAAGTCGATGCGCGAGCTGGTCTACAAGCGTGGATTCGGAAAGATCCGCGGCCAACGTATCCCGATCACCAGCAATAGCGTGATTGAGAACCAGCTTGGAAAAACTGACATCATCTGCACAGAAGATTTGATCCACGAAATCTTCACCGTCGGCAAGAACTTCAAGCATGCCTCAAACTTCTTGTGGCCCTTCAAGCTTAACACCCCAACCGGTGGATGGCGCAAGAAGTCCAACCACTACGTCGAGGGTGGTGACTTCGGTAACAGGGAGGACAAGATCAACGAACTCCTGAGGAGGATGGTCTAAGGATTATTTCCTTATAATGTTAATAATAAAATAATTAAAATACATACACGCTGACGATTTTTATTATTATTTTTCTTATTTTAATTACTAAATTGTTAATCCTGTAGCAATTGAACAACATTGACTGATTCTCTCGTATGCTTGTTTTTATGTCTTTACGATCCTCAACAATGTAATTCCACAACAGATACAAAACAAACAATTATTGTTTGTAAACTGGTGGATTTTATTCGGAGGTTTAAATTAGTTATATAATTTTAAAGAAAAGCACGTTATATTCAAAGTCGAAATAGTTCAGAAACATATCGTTAGATGGAGGTAAGAAGTAAACTTTAATCAGCAATATCTTCATTAATAATACAGTAAACAATGAGCATTATTAATATATACTAAAGGCATGAATTAGAACACCGCAGAAAGGTCTGAACTATAACCTTTGGTATACTGCCGAGAAACAAACCGGTGTTCTCATATTGCGCCATCTTCTATGCATGCTTTAAGTTTATAGTTCAGCTATTTTGGCGCTGTTAAATTTACTACTTAAATTAAAGTTTTAATTAAAAAGAAATATCAAACAATTTTGTTCTACAGCAGTATTAACTATTGATTTATATATTAATTAATAACGGAACTAGATATTTTTTTAAAATGTAATTTCTTTATTTATTACTTATTTTTAAATAATTTAATAGTAGCTATCATATTCCTGATAATTCTAGCTTTAAATTAGGTGCTTTTTTTGTGAAATTCATTCAATGGTATTAAAGAAATATACATAAAACCAAACACGTACAAAATATTTAGTTATTCAATTTTAGTAATAAAGTTTTGTAATTTGCAATATAAATGAATATATGTAGTATATGTATTGATAAAAAGAAGATAATATAAAATATTTTAAGCATTTTTTATTTATTAAATAAGATTTTATAGTAGCACATACAAAATATTTATAATCTTCTACATAATACATTTGTCGTTTAATATTTATAATATTTATATAAATGGAGCTATTTACATACAAGAACAGAATCAATTCGCGAGACATGTCGCATGGCAGTCGAGATGGGTTTAAAATAATTACAAAAAGAAAACAAATTAAAAAATAAACTGAGATCTGGGGGGAACCTCTTACAACATATAACTTCTATCTATAAATTTATGCACAAATATGTATATATAAAAATATAAATAATTACAAAATATGTATATATATATATTTCAATTAGGATGAAAACAAAACAAATGAAAAATTACAAAAAAAAAAACTCTTTAAATTACTAATAATAATATTTAATTACTTATTTTTTACACACGCGTTCTCATCTTTAAAGCCTTCATTGCTATTGCTCTTGAAATTTAATATTTACTATCTCTAAGTATCACAATATACATTTTTATTTAATCATATTTTTTTCTAAATTATCCTTTCTTCTTCAATTTATACATTAAAACTTGTCGTTTTTAAATATATTTGTCTGTTTATATGTATATAATAATATTGTACTTTTAAATGTTAAATTTATTGGATCATTTGTAAGTATCGGTTTTCCTCTAGGAGCGAGCTCAGGGATGAGGTCATGTCGTTGATGATCATGTTGGAACTCGTCGTTTCTGCGCATTTCGCCAGAGGATGCGTGCTGCTGGTTACCATTTCGTTGGTGTTGCCCACCCACGACTGACAGTTCTGCACGTACTCGAGCGTTCTCTGATAGGTGTCTTGCCGCATACCTAGAGGTTGCTGCTGAGCCGATTGGTTCTGCTGCGGCTGTTGTTGTTGTTGTTGTTGCTGCTGCTGATTTGCAGCCGCAGCCGCTGCAACTATTCCTGGGCTCATCTGAGATTGCGAGATATCTTTGCATTGGATCTCGGAGGGTGGAGGATTGTTGAAACACTTCTGGTTGTTGAACATTTGGTTTTGCTTGTTGCAAGTGCAGCTGTTGCATTGTTGCTGAGGATAGGGCGAACGGAAACAGTTCTGCTGGTCGTAGTGCGAACAGGGTCTGGTCATCTGCGCCTGCTGCGGTTGATTGATCATTTGGTCGTTGGGGGCTTGAGCCGCTACCTGCGGAGAAGTCATGGGTTCGACGATGGTCGGGGCGCAGTTGAAGTTCGAAGGGTAGTTGGGATTGGGGCAGTAGTTGGCGTTCTTGATGCTCGCGCAGTAACCGTTTTGCTTGTTGCAGACTTGGTAGTTCCCGTTTCCTTGCATCGCCGAATGTCCAGATCCCTGGTATCCGTTGTAATCTACGTGCTGAGCGTTGCGCGACTGACACACTCCACCACCTACGGCTGCCTGATTCTGGCACATCTTATCCCAATTGTTCTGCACGTAGCAAGAAGAGTTGTTGTGGTTGGGCTGATTGACCGTGTAGCAGTTTTGCGGCATGTAGATGTTGCAGTTCTGCGGATTCGGACTTGGCATCTGGTGGACTGGTGATTTGATCATCTGCGCGTTCGTCCCTGGCGACATCATCATCTGCTGCGAATGGCACCTCACAGACATCGGTGAATGAACCATCTGATTGATGTTCGAAGCCGGTGATGCTGCGACGCTTGGCGCCGGCGACATCAGCGGATTCTGGATTTGAGCCTGATGGTAATTAGATGAAGGCGAATGCATCATCTGGTTAAAAGTGGATGCTGGGGAGTGCATCATTTGGTTCATGTTTTGATTCACCGGGGAATGCATCATTTGGTTTAAATTGGAGGCGGGCGAATGCAGCATCTGATTCGAAGCGGGTGAAAGGACGTTTGTGTTGATGGGGAAGCTCTGAGGAATTTGGTTGGGCGATGGTACGCTCGCTTTGTCGTTCCACTGCATGTTGAAGTCGGTGTTCTGAGTGTCCGCTACTTGGTTGAGGTAGTGCATCATCTCGTCAGGAATCACAAGCTTATTCTCAACCATTTCTCCTTCTCCAACTTCGTCCAGAACGACAGCCTGATTTGGATGGAGCTCCGTGCAGCTTCCCTTCATCGGGGAGAGACTCACGGATGCGGGCCTCGGTGGAGGACTCTTCCTGTCAGTTAAGGTGTGACAAGGCTCCGACATTCTTCTGGTATCCGTGCTGTTGTTGGTCGCAGTAGATTGCCGCACGGTCGACGCCATATCCGTTGACATCCAGGACTGTTGCAAAGCTGCCTGTTGAAGCGACACATTTTGAGTCTGCAAGAAGAAATAATTTATTAAGATTAATTCAAATATTTACACAACGTGCAGTTTCAATAGTATATATTTAAAAATTAACAAAAAAATAGCAATTACCTGCAAGACCAAATTGCTTTGGTTGGGTTTGTTTGTAGAGTTTTGCAGCCTCTGCAATTGTCCGGCAAGGAGATGCGAGGGAGGCGGAGGCGGTATTGAGTGTCCTCCTGCTCCACCACCTCCTGCTCCGCCACCACCGCTTCCTCCTCCATTGGTGGCCGTCGATAGTTGACTGGATCTTCTCGAACTTCCCGCAGAGATCGGATCGTAAAATGATCCGGGCGCGGCAGCAGCTGGTCTCATGCTGGATGCCTGCAAATAATATAACCGAATTAATATCATCATTTCGCAATAAAATCATCAATCTATTTATTACCTGAGAGGCGAGGCTGCTCTTTCTGCTCATATCCGCGCTCTTCATGCTTCCATAGTAAGAGCTGACAGTAGAATTGCTGTCCCTCCTGATCTGAGCCTGGGTGAGAGGTTGTAGTCTTGCTTGCAGATCGGTCAGCTGCGTCTTGGTTTGAGGGCCGTTCGTGATGCCACCCTCCACCTTAAGATCTGTTATCCTGCGGTTGATCTCAGTCATTCCCAAGGTTTTCCTTTGGATGGTCGGAGGAAGCGTTTGCAGATTTGACTTGGCCAGAAGCTTAGGCCTCAGCCTGTTCCTCATCGACCTATCCTGCACTGCAATACCTCCACCTCTCTCGTTGCCAATTTGCACCATGGCTCTGATAACCACCGGTAAATCGTCAATCTATGAAACAGAAACAAGAAATTTAATAATAATTCTCCAAATAACAATCGATTTACGAATTACCTCCAAACCGCCGTCTGAATCGTAAGGCCACGCCGGATCATCCATGGTCCTCCTAACGTTACCGGCAACATCCGCCGGAAACTCATCCTGGAATCCGCCTCCGGCCAATTGCGTTGCTCCCAGAGGACTTCCCTGCTGCTGGTGTCCAGGAGAATTAACGTCCGACTGCCAATCAAACAATAAATTAAATCCTCGTTCGCACGTTCGCATATTAACAAGAATTACCTCAGACTTGATGCTCGGACTGCTGAGACTAGCTGTTTTATGGCTGTGCATGTCTTCGCTTCTCGGACTGGAGTCCAGACCCGTGGGACTATCATCAGGTCCGCCCTCGTTGATGCCCTTATGCTTCTTCGTCGCGTAGAATTCCGCTCCGTGCACAGTCTTCACGTGTTTCCTCAGTGAACTCGGATCCGTGTATCGTTTTGTACAACCAGGCGCTTTACACACATAAGGTTTCTATTCCAAAATTAAAAAAAATAACAATATTAAAATTCAATAATTAAAATATAAAATAATTTTAATACTTAAAAGAAAAAATAAACATTGAATGAGATTGTGAATATATTGATATACTTACAAGAATTTCCAAAACTTAGGAAAGCATTAGTTTTATTCAATACATTAGATTCCATTAAAATAATTATCAATATTTGGGTATATTGTAAGTAATATTTACCTCATTGCTGTGGGTTCGATTTTGATGTTTCGCTCTGTCCGAGGCATTGCTGAAAGCCTTCGAACATCCAGGATATTCGCAGGTGTAGGGTTTTTCTCCAGTGTGAGATCGGAGATGGGTCTTCAGGTTTTCCAATCTCGAATACGCTTTGATGCATCCCTCAAACTGTAAAATAACATTACGTAAATTACCGATTCAACATTTGATTGTATTTGGGACTTACCGTGCATTTGTGTGGTTTTTCTCCGGTGTGTCTTCGCATGTGCACAACGAGCATGTACTGAGCTTTGAAGGGTTTTTCGGCACGCGAACAGCCCTCCCATCGACACACGAAGGACTTTTTATTTGCGTGAATATGGTCATTATTGATGTGCTGCAATGTAAAAGATGGAACGTTAATCTCGATCTAATGGAAGCAAGTCGTATATGCTTACTTTGACTAAATCATCTTGTGTCGGAAACTCCGTGCCGCAATCCCGCCAATGGCAATTTGTTTCAATGAAATCTCCTGGTTCGTCCTTGAGATCTGCGGGATCTTGGGGCTCGCTGTTGTTGGCCGTGAGGTTGCACGGATGATTGGGGAGCGGTTCCTTCTTGATGCGGGCCTTCCGCGAAGCAACGCCGACTCCATCGTCCACAGAGATAATGGCTCCAAGCGCGTCTGATTTCTTCCTGTAGTCTGCCTTGGAGTTGTGCGCGTTGTGGGAGGCCGAGGAGGAAACGTGCAAAGGATGATGGCCAAGAGAGTACATGGGATGAGGGGGCGTCGGGGCTGGTGGCAGCGGCAGAAGGGATCCTGCACTGCGCATGAGATGGGCTTGGAGCTGCTGAAGATGAACTCCCGGATGGACGCTGAGGGCCGGACTGAGGGCTCCAGCTGAGAGATGGCCATAGCTGCCGCTCGCACTGGACGATCTCGAGCCGTTCACGATCGAAGCCAAAGAGTTTGGCGAAAATCGGATCATCGAGTTGATGTCGAAGGAGTCGGAATAGGGCGACGAGGACAGGGCCCTCTTCCTCGACTGCCTGATGCTTCCGGGCCTCGGACTGTTCAACCTAGACCCATCTATGCTGAAATGGTACTCGCTGCTCGCCAACGTCGAAGCCGGATGAAGTTCCGTCAATCCTCGAGCGCTCAAATACTCCGGAGATAATCCTAACCCTGCAACAATGCAAATACAATAATTAGACACAATCGACAAAAAAACATAAATCAATTACTGGTGATCATTGTCAGTAATAAACTTGAAGCATGAACATCTTGTTTCCTACAAATCAGAGTTTGCGATTTCATAGGTTTAGTGCAAGAAGTTGCGGACTTCAGCAATGAGGCGTCAATGGAACTGGAAACTAATTTTACCGCAGTTTTTATTTCCGCGACCGGCGATAATTAAATCTTTCAGTCAACTTTAAAGTCGCCTTTTAGCGCGCACTAAAAGCGCGCTCGAAAATAACGCAACGAAGGAAACGACGTTTCCGCAGGGCGCGACGACACGAGTGACGGAGAGAGAAAGAACAGACATCGGAGAGCAATAAAAAGCACGAAAATATCCGCATCGGAAATGCCATCATCTCGCAGTTAGTTGCCTGCAATAGAACCACCAAACGGCATCTGCAGCAACAGCAGCAGTATAAGCAGTAGCAAAAGCAATAGAAGAAACAGAAGCAGAAACAGCAGCTTTCCTGAAGGAATCGAATCGCTAAATTAACTGTTTTTCCGGTGACCGGTGCGTTTATCTGTTCGTCGTAAGCTCACGGACAAAAGTCAATTAGGATTGCCGCGGCTGCAATTAAAAGTAATTATTAATAAACGGAAGAAATGTGGCGCTCGTTATTCGCCGGTTGGCAATTAGCGAAGAATTCTTTCTGTCTTTCTTTCGGTATATTGGAAATATCGACGATCTCCTATCCTCTCTCTACTCGCTCGCATCCCATTAAGTTATTTCGAAATTACCTTTCGCAAATACTTGCAACGAGACATTCAGTCTTCAACAGAAGAAGCACCAACAACAACAATAACCACACAAAACAATATGCTCGTAAAACTTCTGTTGGCATTTTCATTATTTCTGTTAATAGAATCATTGTTTTTTTTCTTTACTTCTAGCACAATACAACATTTCTTCTATATACTTTGATAATAAAACACTTTATTTTGCAAATAGTTATTCAATTGATATTCTATATATAGTATTATTATTTCATTCTATTAATAAAGAAGAATGAATGAAGAAAAAAACGCGAGATGTTAAAAAAAGAAGAGTTGTTTGTTGGTTGTTTTCTTAGAGGGAAAGACGTAGTAGTAATTTCACTGGAGTTTGGAAGCGGCGAAAGATATTAGTTCTCGTCCTCGTTTAGGTGGAAACGGTTTTATATATTTATTTGGACGATTGGACATATGCATGACGTATGTCTTGAGCGCCGAATGTTTAAAATTAAACCCCAGAGCCGTCTCCGTCTCGGCCAGAGCCAAAGAAGCCAAAGCCTGCTCGTGCACGAACTGAAAATAGCGAGAGGGCAACGGTTCATTAAGTAAATCGTCAAGAATTCCAGCACTTACCTACATCTGTTTCTAATGAACTCCGCCACTGTTCTGTTCTTCTACCTTCTCTTCTCCACATCATTTTATCGCGTTAAACACGTGAACAAGAAGAGATCATCTTTCCCAATTCGGGAGTGAACATTTGCAAAAGACGAGACGAAGAATTGAGTGAATGATGAAGGGAGCTATTCGAGATTTCGCGTCGAAAGTGTGTAGTTGTAGGCGAAGAAGAAAATAAAAAGAGGGGAATCCAGAGATTCGTTCGGGGCGCCGGAAACGAAAATAAACACGTTGGTCATGTAGAAATAAACGGAACGGCGCACGGGATAATAAATATAGAATGCAAGATAAATAAATCATTAAAGGCGCTCGCTGAAAACCGATGCCTTCTTCTCCTCATCCGCACAACAACAACAACAGAAGAAGAAAAAAATAAGCAAAATCTGCTCCAAAGAAGGAGGAAGCGCATTCTGGTTTCTCATTATTTTCTTTTTCTCTTCCGATTTACCATTCTACTCTTTCTTCATTCCCCCCGGTTTGGAATTTTATGGTGTTATAGAGACAGAGAGAGAGAGAATGATGTGTTGCAAAGAGGGTGTGCGAGAGATAGAGAGAGAGAGGTGGACGTGCGGCGATAAGGAGAGGTCCGAAGGAGTTAAAAGCTCTTTTATATATACATATACTTCTACTTCTTCGGGTTCGGGTCATAAATGTCGGCATGTTATTTTTTATCGTCGTCCTGTTCGATATTTTAATATCTAATAAAATGACACAACATTCTCTCAGCTTGATATTCCAAACATGGCCGGATCACATAAACTATCCACTTTATTGGATGCATTTCTAACATTATTATTACTGAGACGCTACACACCATACACACCATTTCGATCTCGACCATGGAAAGAGTGGAAAAGAACAAGAAAGAGATTTTCAGGTAAATGATCTTCGATCTCACGAATCGGAGACCCACTCGCACCCATAATAATAATGATGATGATGGTGAAGAATCGAAGGGGATTTTCTTTTGTTTCGCGCGCTCGCCCGCATCCCGTTCTTCGGATTACAGGATGTTACCACTTTGCCAGAGCCCTTGCAGCAAAACAATATTATTTCAGGGATCGTGACTGAACGTCTCGGAAAACGTCCACACACACATATATAAACTACACGTGTCCCTTCTAATTAAAGACCGAGTACAAGAAGATGAAAAAAAAATGAAGGAGGAAAATCTTCCTGACATTACCCATATGCCAACGCCAATATTGCTAACGCATTTAGAACATTGACATACATTCAAACTCAATCTAATTTAATTTAGAACTCAAACTAAAATATTTCATCATTTAAACTCTTTGATGTTATTTACAAATTAAATTTATAAAAATATTAACAATTATTATAATTCAATAGAAATTTAAAATTGTCAATCGCAAGGCAACGTTATTTACTAATTAGAAATGATTAATTTAAAGATGATCAAGTCGTTACTTTTGTAATGACATTAAAGAATTTAAGATTTCAAAGTATCTCCCAAAGCAATTTTCATCAATGCATTTGATAACGAATGAAAAAAAATAAAGGCAATAAATGCATAGTATCTATACCGTTTCCAAAGTGGTGCACTTAACGAGTAGCGTGATTCACAACGTCGGCTCAGTAATTTAACATAACATTATCAGCAATTTAGCATCGTATTATTAGTAATTTAGCATTAGACTATTGGTAATTTACTATTAGATTATACTATAATCTATAATGTAATTTACAGTTTGTAAAATAATGTTCTTAAAAAGATTTGCGTGTTTTTTTTGTTGTAAATTTGCTTACCGTGAATTGAGTTGGCGGTCGAATGTTGTAGAGAGTAGAGGTACTCCATGTGGGGTGGAAGACGGTAGGCAGGGTGCAGTTCCCTTCCGAGAAGTTGGAGGCCACCGCCGGGACTGCCGCTGACCCTAGAGAAAAGACAAAAGAACACAATTAGAAATCTACGTTGCGCAATGCCCGCTCGAAACAAAAGAACGAGCAACAACTGCAACAGTAAAATAAAAAGAGTTTATATGTATCATTTATTTATTTGGATCATTAATCCTCGTTATCGTTTTATCAGAGCCGAGCCTATGGACTCTCTCTATTTGTATTATTTGCTCTCTCCGAGTTGGCTAAGACATTGATGGAGACAGAAAGAAACCTTGAAAAGGTACTAGGAAGAAGGTGGTACGCATTTCGTACGCCCCAGTTGGTACATAGTTTATCGCGGATTTCAATGTTCAATGCTCCACATTGTAATCAGACACCGCGCGAGATCTATCCTTCGGATCGGGCCATCATCATCATGCAAGCATCCATGGATGGGCGCAATCGAAACGCGATTTATTGGCGAGCGCGACTTAATTTTATGCACGGCCTCGAGAGATAAACTCGGGCCAGTTAACAACGTACATACATAGACATACCATTACCTCCTTCCCTTACTTATTTTTATTATTTCCTTCCAGCAATTTATTTCATTTCCACTATTTTATTCCAACTCGATACATCTCTCTCTCTCTTAATCTCTTTCACACGAACGCAAGAAGAAAACAAGAAACGCTTCTTTATATATGTATACGCATACGGCGACCAGTTTAATTAAGCAATTAGTTTTTCTTCTCGGATCGAAAATCCATTTACATTCATATTAATACTAAATCGAAAAATATTGATTTATCGGACGCCAGTGTCAATTAAAACTAAAGTATGCTCTCTAATACTTTTGTTCTCGCAAATTGAGACGTAAAAATTCCAAGAAGATTTTTTTTTAGTTAGGGGTTCCTCGCGTGTCTTATGATTATTACCGCTGCGTCGCAATGTATTATTAGACCCAAATTATATTTAACAACAACTCCAAAATCATCGCAAGAAGACAACAAACAAACGAACAAACCAATTTCAATTTTTTTTTTGTAGAGGGAGCAAAGAAAGAGGAATCTACCTGTTCGTTGCGCAACCCTCTGCGATGGTAATCTTTACTGGTTTTTTTTTTTTTGTATTTCTCTGGAAGGGTGTAGGAGTAAAGAAGATTGTCAAGCGTAAATCAATTATCCTTTAAGAGAAAGGTGTGCGAGAGAGCGTCTGGAAATTTGAATAGTCTCCAATCGTTACAGTTACGTTTCGAAATGTAATAACAATAAAATCCTCTGCGCGCCCACGTCGAGCGGACGACGGATGGACGAGATAAAAAATAAATAAATAAAGAGTGGACGTTCGATTTATGTCGCATCCGAAGATAAAAATTGAAGTGAAAATAAAGAAAAAAAAAGCAATTTTTCTATTGCCGTTTCCTTCTTCGGGTTGGTCGGTTATTCAAATCGGGATTAATTAAAATAGAAAATGTGAGCGCACTTTGTGGTCACTCTCGCAGGAGTAATTTAAATTAATTAATATACGACACGATCGTCGTCCGTCCTCTTCTGCGACGAACGAAGAGATACGTTCTTTGGCTTTGTCTTGTTTGTCCAAGGCCCGGCTATCGTTATACATATTCAAATGCACGTCTCGGACCGATTTGCATAGAACACGTCCCTAAGAAAAGGCGTGGGGAACGAGAAATTCTACTCCTCCATTTTTTTTCTCTCTCTCTCTCTAACTTCTTCTGTTTTGTTCCTCGCTTCGTCGTCGTAGTTCTTCCTTTAACATCCTCCAGCACTTTGTCAACTCTTCGAAGGCCTGAGGGAACGTCGAGCGCGAATTAGTTTTCTCGCTTTTCTTTCACTCGTATTTACTTATTTAGTTTTGGTCGATTTGGAAAGTTCCGAGAAAAGTGTAACACAATCGTGTGTCGGGTAGTAGTCGGAAATCTAGTTTACAAGTCGGCCGAGTTTATAGGCATTTCTTAAAGGCTGGAACGGCGCGAGATAGTCGCAGTAATTGGCAGGACTATGCACTGTCCGCGAGTGCATAAGACTCTCTCTAATCTCCCGCTTCCAATCTTTGAATTAAATATTCATGAATGGAGACATACACACATGCAGAGAAGATCACACGTTCGACTGTCCTCGTTACATCCCCAAGAAGCAACAACAAAAAAAGAATAACAAGGATTCGAAATCGAATGCAATTAACAGCAAATAATTCAGTACTGTAATTTCTTGATTTTTTTTTTTGCAAAGCTATTAAAAATGAAATAAGTATATTTGCGTATGTAATTACTTCTTTTCAAATAATTGGTGAGCATCATTTAAAAACTCTAATTACATACATTAAAGTTAAACTCGTTAATTTTCGCATTGAAAGGTAAATGAGAATAAATGAAGTGTAATTTCGAGTAATGCAGGTTCTCTACTGACTTGAGTGATTGCTCTGATTATGCTGATCGAGGGGGATTGTTGTTTCTTTTCTTATTTGAAGGCGTTGCGGTGCGGCGCGCTCTCAACTCGATGTTTGCATTGAGGCGCTAAATCGCCGTAATCCAAGAAGGTTTACGAGTTTCGAAATTGAAATCAGGTGAGCGTTGGGAGCCGATGAAATAATGCGAGGGCAGTAAATAACAATGCGGACACGGGGAACAAATAATAACGTCGGCAATATATCGCTCGGTGTTTTAACACTTTTGTCTCCGTCGTCCACCAATATAAATCTATTAATTGGATTATACAAGGGGGAGAGTTGCGAAATAGTGGATTGTCTTCGCCCACGGACCTTTGGCAGAGCCGCCCCCGCATCAAGTCCAAATGTCAACGCGGTAATGCGGAGCGACGGAATCGGAAGTCGCGGATAAATCATGCGGGACCTCGAACGTAAATCATGCGTTATTGATTCGATGCTCTGGATGTTCTTTTATGGTCTCTCTCCTTCTCTTAGTTTATTTTCTTTTCCTTTCGTTTCACTACTCCCCGAATAAATTATAACATTAAGAAAGCAATCAGGCAATATTTACGGGAGGGACTTCGACTACGACGACGACGAAGAAGACGAGGACGACGATGGAGTGGAGATCGGATGAGATCAGCGTCCACTAACTAGCTGAACATGTAAACTAAGCTGTGAACGATGCGAACGGAGCACGGCCACGCAGCGGACCAGAGGACTTCTTCGGCTGTCGAAGAGACGCCGATCTGTGGACGATGCATTCTGGACCGTTGTAATCCCATCAGATATGGACCTCTCGGGTATGCCAATTAAGAGCGAGCCTACCCTCACCGGCACCCTCCCCGTCGCCGCATTTCGGTTCACGTGACCGTAGGTGTTAATAGGCCTTATCCTCTCGTCCTTCTGCGTGCATCTCATCCTTCCTCATCCTCCTCCTCCTTCAGCTCTTCTCTTTTTCCCGCCCCATCCCAATTTCAATTATAATCTCAAACACCAAACTCTCATACAAGTCCACCTTTTCAATTATAGCATAATGTACATTCTTTAATTAACAACAAACAAATCAATCGACGAAATTAAGATATTTCAAATTTATAGCAAAGTCTCAAAATTGATTCAAAATCACAACTTTATTTAGTACTTAATAAAAACATAAATAATTATAGCTGCTTAGACATTAAATTTTCTGTCTGACTGTTTTTTTGTTGTTGAAATCTTCTCCAATTAATTTGACCGTCCTTTCTCGTACTTGTAACATCTTTGGAACCGTGAGAAAAAAGAACCCGAAGTCCGCCGTTCGATAATCCGCACTTCATCATCCCCCCATCAGTTTCATTATCCATGCGACACTCTGGAATTAATCTTCGGCCGCTAACGCGAACGACGACACTTAATACTCTCTCTCTTATTCTCTCCATCTTCATTTATTTGTCCCGCTTCTTCTAAAACAAATTGTGTCCGCCTGATATTTATTGCCGCGATCAATCAACTCTTTCCCTTTTCCCTCCCTTTTCTATTTTCTTTTTATTTTTTTGTATATTCTTATCTGCGTTCATTACAATTATTAGTCTTACTCAAGATTATAACCGAAAGGCCTTCATCCTAACCTCTTTTATCCTCTTCGGTCTTCCACCCGTTTACCTGCGACAGTTTTTACCCGTAATCTACATCCATGCACATTCCAATTAAAACCGGGACCTAATTAGTCAAACGTCACCACGAATAATAAGACGTCCTATCGGAGAAACCAAGACGATAGATCGAATACCGTCGATAAAGAAGCCAGGACAACTTTGTTTTTAGCAATTACTATTCCTTAACTATGTAAGCTATTACTACATATACGGAGATGTGTATTTTGCAGATGTTTTGGGCTGGTTTAAAAGGACCATAGAAGTCGTAAAGTTTAGTTGTTGTTGTTGTTGGCGGCGATGAGGAATGAAGATGTGTGAATTGGTTTGCGTCCTTTGTTTCGTCCGGTTATATTCCTTTTTATTTCGGGTGAAATATTTAACCGTGGGCAGCGTCCGAGAAGGAGGAGGTGGAGGATGAAGAGGGGGTGGAGGTGGTGGAGGAGAGGCGTGGGCGCGAGAGCGAACCTCACATACCACCTGCCGATAAAGGATATTGTGTTTGCTCTTAAGCAAAGAGTCCTGCCTGCACCGATACAATCTATATACGCGAGAGTATGTGTTGTGTCTGCATGTGTGTTGCTGAATATATACACACACACACACATGAGAGGAGACCTTCCATTTCGCGTAAACACGTCCCGTGTTCTCTTTATTTATGCCCGCACTCCCAGAAGAGCACACAACACATTGGAGAAGACTGGATAAAGACAGAGAGAGAGAGAGAGACAGAGAGAAAGAGCAAGAAGGACATTCTTATTTAAGATATCACACACTGCATCCCACCATTCGCGGACCGGACTCACTCTGAATGAGTATTATTTATAAGCCCATTGTGCGCTCCTTTGACAATTATTCGGAACACTTCGATCGCGCATTACAACTCCAGATAAGACATCTCTATTTCAAAACGTACTGCTGCAGCTCTCAGGACGAAAGGAAAACGCTCGAAGAACACATGGAAACACCACTCC